CATTCATTTGGAACAGTGAAAAGCACATTTTGCGAAATTAACCCATGGGAAATTGTCATAACAAGCCCCCTGAAGCTGCGGGGCAGCTCTCTTTGGAACCTTACCACCATCACCCCTGAAGCCAATTTGGCCAAACTTCCTTGGGGCTTCATCAGGAATAGCTAGCTTCTAGCTTTATTATTAAATTTTTATTTTAAGATCAATGTTTGGTTATTGCACAAAATCAGGAGGGGTAGGGGGGAGAACCCACAAAAGATTATAAAGAAGAAAGGAATGACCCCAAACTTTACTTGCTTCATTTTAAAGCAGCTTGCCTGGTCCATGGGCCCGGGCAGTCACATCACAGCAATTGTGTGTCTTTGCCATTCTCAGGCCAGAACCATCCACAGGCATACACACGGACACACACACACACACACACACACACACACACACACACACACACACGAACATGCAGCAAAACTACATAGTCTCCAGAGAGCAAACTGTGTTTCTAGTAACAAACCACAGTCTGCCTCTAGGACGTGTGACCAGGCTTTGCCCTGAGAGACAAGGCTCCACGGGAAGTGTGCCTGCCCCAGCCGGCAGCCCAGCCCCCAGGCAGCCTTTGGCAAGCCCCAACAGGATTCCAGGCCGGCTGGCAGGCAGGAAGAGACGCCACTCCGAACCTCTCCCCGTTGTAATTTACCAAATCCATCTGGGACTCCTTTGAGCTGTTTTCTGAAAATGCCACATTTCAAGGGTCTCCCTGTTAGGAAAGGTCAGAGTTCACATGGGCCTTTCATGTTAAGGGAACTTGAAAGAAAAGCAAAGAAAATGTATATTTTCAGCCTTAGCTGTGATTAAGTGAGCTCAAGCCATGAGAACACTTAGATGATTTACATGACGTTACATGAAGAGCCAATTAGCCTAACAACTTCCGAAAAATTTCTAGCTCAAGAGCACCCATTTATTAGAACGTGTGGAATGTGCCAAGCATTGCACTAAGCTCTTTCCTAGGATACACGATTCATCTCAACCTTGCTCCCGCGATGCAGGCTCAGTGTGATAACTCGTTTTACCTGTAATGAAGTAGAGCCTCAAAAAGGGTCAGTGATTTGTCTGGAGTCCCCTAGCCAGTCAATGGTAGGGTAGGGATGAAATCTCAGGTCTGCCTAAATCCAAAGCCGGGGCTCTCTTGCTCCAGCCCTCAGCCCTCGGGAGCTCTTTGAGCTGCATCCAGCATCTGAGGACAGCACATTTGCATGAAGATGAAGCCTTGTTAAATCCCCAGTTCTGACCTGGGCTGCATAAGTCCAGAAGACTCTGGGGCCTCCCTGCAGCTGGCCCTGGTCCCAAAATTCTTTGGTCACCTCCAAGGGGATAACCACAGCAGATCTTACTCACCACTTTGTGGAAGAATCCCAGGGTCTATTGTCTCCATGTGGGATCTGAGTAAGTACCCAGAGCAGGCAGTCTAGGGTGGGCCCAGGGGACAGATGGTACAGACTGAGCTTGGTCTGACTCAAGGGAGATGCTCTGAGACACCTCACACAGCAAAGGGCTTTAGCCACTCTATACAGGCCAGCCAGTGAGGTTCTCCAATCCTCCTGCTGGTCCCTTCATATAGTGTGAGCCACCCAGAAAGTCAGAACTCTCACTCATCAGCATTTGTTTGCAAAGTTTGCCAAGTAGAGAAGGACCCCCTTTGAAATTGAAGAGGTCATAGTGGAATGCTAGAGTCTAATAGTTTGGGTGTGGGCTCAGGAGTCAGACCTCCTGGTTTGGAATTCAGAGACAGACCCTCATTCCCAAGCTGTGAGAACTTAGGTGACATATTCTTTTTTTTTTCTTTCTTTTTTAAAGATTTTTATTGGGGAATTGGGGGGATGGGAACAGCGCTGGGGAATTGGGGGGAGGGAAACAGACAAGTTGCTGTCCTTTTGTTCTTCAGTCTAGTTGTGGAGGACGTTGCTTCACTGGCCCAAGTTGGCACCATCATTGCGCTCCTCCTGGGCGAAGCAGATCAGTCGCCGGCTTCTGGACGGCCGCTCACTGTGGCTGCTGGCCGCTCACGCTGGCTGCTGGCCACTCACACTGGCTGCTGGCTACACACGGTAGCCCATGGCAACCCACCGCCACAGGGACTGCAGCCTACGCCATCGCCGGCGACTCACAGCAGCCCAGCTCCAGGTTGAGCTGTTGTTCAGCATCTTAGCTGTAGAGGCAGTGTCACTGGCCCTCATATGTGGGATCCAAACCGGAGCCCTCTGGCATCCCAAGCCAGTTCTTAACCATCGCGCCACTTGACCGGCCCCTTGGGTGACATATTCAATCTCCCTAAGCTTTAGTTCTTCATTAATCGATGGGAATAATAGTCCCTATGTCACAGGATTGGTGTATGATGATTAAATGAGATAATGTATGCAAAGCTCTTGACATGATGTCTGGTACATAGTAATCACTCAGTAATATGAAGTCATTGTGAGGATGATGATGACGATGGAATCAGTGCTAACTAGACAAGGGGCTGCTGCAGGGCTGCACCTGCCTTTTGGGGACAAGCCGGATCTCCTTTTCTTCTCTATCTCCCCAAGCTCTACAGAGCCTTCCAGGCTCAGACAAAGTCTGCCTCCTCCAGGAAACCAACTTGACCACTCCAGCCCCATGGATCTCACCATTGTCTGAGCTCCTTCTGCCCACGGTCTGTGTAGACTAATCCAGCAAAAAACTTGCCTCTAATAATTTCTCAGCTTTTCAAGCACCCAATGCTCCTGGAGTGGTCTTCTCTGCTCCTCCCCTCTCCATAGCCTGAGAGTTAGGTACACGGTAGATGCTCCCTCAGCAGGCTTTCAGGCTTTTCAGCGTGCCTGTGGATGTCTGAGACTCAGCCTGCTTCTCTCTCTCCCTTACCCCTCCTCAAACTCTTATTCTCCTGACTCACGTGCCCCTTTTCCATGGTTCCACCCAGCAGGGCAAGAGGTGGAAGCCATGACTCCATAGGGCAGCGGTTCCCAGGCTTTGGAATTTCAGTCCTATAAAATGTGCAAAGAAATTCTGGGGTTGGAGAGTGAACAGAGAGTGGCCAAGGTTTTCTTTAGCCAAACAAGAACAATAAAAAATTTTTAAAAATCAATTTTCACCATCATTTCAGTAAAGAAAGGCTGTTTTCACATCAGTAAAACTAACATTCATAATCTCTGATTAAAGGTTAATACTTTATCCTGAAAAAAAAAAAGGCGCCTTCTTAAGAAAAACAAACCTCAGTGTTGCCCTGACTGCTTTCTTTTCTCCACGGACTGGAGAAAACTTCAGCCCTCACTGGCCTGTATCCACTGGAACCTCACGGGTCTGGGGGCCTTTGTCCTGAAGGAGGCTCCTGCTAAGCTGGGGTCACCCTCAACCTCAGGAGGGCCCCCAAAACCTTTGGATTAGGCAGATCCGTATTCCCACTCAGCTTTCCCAGAGGAGGCTCATCTGGAAGCCAGAACTTAAAACCTCAAGGGTTGAGGTGGGCCCCTCCTCCTGTATCCTCTTCCCTCCTGACTCTGCCATGTCTAGCAGGAGCCCCTCCTCCCATCCTAGAGGGACTGAGGTAAGACAGCGCAGCAAGCTCACACCAGGAAAGGAGACTGGGGGGACCTAACAGGCAGGGTCTTCCCCACATCTCCATTGCCATATTGAGCATTAGTGTCCACCACCCTCCTCTGCCCCTGGAAGGGAGGAAAAGAGGGCACTCCAGCCCTAAGGTGGGGGGCCGAGGCGCCCCGCTGGGCTGGCGCAGATAGGATCTGAACGCGGAGAAGGATGGCCCCTGGCTCTTTGATCCGCAGCCAGCCAGGCTGGACCTGGACCCAGAGGGGTGGCGTGGCCCTCTTCCGGCCGGCTTTGCGGCAGCCAGGCTTCCTTGTGCTCCTCTGAACCGCAGAAGTATCCAAGACACTCTCCCTTACCAAATACCTTCTGCCCCAATTGCTCTCGGGAGAGATGGGAACGTCTACACCGAATCCAACACAGAAACCTGCTGGGGGCTGCGGGTTTGCTGCACTGCTATCCAGAGTGGCGGGTGTGTTTCCTAGACGCGGTGGCTGAGCCAAGGCCAAGCATGCTGTGGAAGCCCGCGTGGACTTGACCCCAGGTGCCTTGTAGATACAATGGAAGCTGGCCCAGGTTTCCGCAGTCCTCCAGCCAACCTGCAGCCCGGATCTTGCGAGGGGCCCTCTGCACCAGGCTTGGAGTCAATGGGCTCTTCGAGATTGCAACTTGAATCCCGCAGCCCACGTGTCTGCCCAAAGCCTGGCATCCCCAGGCCATGGGTTCTAGGAGTGGAACTGAGTTGGGAGAGTCGTGGGAGGGGGAGGGCGTGACTGGAGGATCCCCATGGTGCGGCGGGGTCTTTCCTCCTAGTCCTCTTGGCTGTTCGCGCCTCATGAATATGTGATATATGAGCCCACCACGCAACAGGCGCTCAATAAATGTGACGGGTATACGCTTGTGTTTGCGCTGTGAGTGGACAGCCTGGAAGGAGGTCTCAGGTTGGCTTAATGCTGGAGAAGAGGGCTTTGAGGGGTCCTAATCTGCCAACGTGGTGTTTGAGCACAGCCTCCGAGCAGCCCCAAGCTCTAGGAGGCTCCCAGTTCCAAGCCCAGGAAGTATTGGGCCCGGAGCATAGACACAGTTCACACCTTGCCTCCTGTTCCAAGCCATCTCAAGAGCCTAGGGGGCTTGTACCCTCCGCAGTTGGGGTTGAAACCTGGGAGCGGGACGGGAATCACTAGGTGAGGAAGGGGATTCGCGGTCTCCTTTAAAGTCCCTGCATTTCAGGAGAAAGGTGATGCTTTTCAGGCTCGTCCAACGCCTCACTGGGGTAACGCCCGGGAGAGCGAGCCCTTTAAGACTATGCCCACTGGTCGCGTCGTGGCTTCTCCCGGGAGGGGAGAGGCGGGGCGATTGGCCCCTCCCATCGTCCGGGCCCGCCCCCGGGTCCCCGCCCCGCCCCCCGCAGTCCGCCGGCGGCGCCTTTGATGTTCGGACCCGCCAGCTCCAGGAGCCGCTGAGCCTGGCGCCCGCGCCCCGCGCCCGCAGCCCGCCCAGGCGGAGTCAGCCCGCGCTCCGGGCTCGGAGGTCCGGACTGCGGGCTCGCCGCCTCCCGGGCCGGCTTCGCGCCCCTCACTCCAGTGCCCCGCGCCTCCGCGGGCGGAGCGCACCATGCCGCAGCTGGACTCGGGCGGGGGCGGCGCGGGCGGCGGCGACGACCTCGGCGCGCCTGACGAGCTGCTGGCCTTCCAGGACGAGGGCGAGGAGCAGGACGACAAGAGCCGCGACAACGCCGCGGGCCCCGAGCGCGACCTGGCCGAGCTCAAGTCGTCGCTGGTCAATGAGTCCGAGGGCGCGACCGGCGGCGCTGGGGTCCCGGGGGCCGGCGCTGGGGCCCGCGGCGAGACCGAGGTCGGGGCGGAGGTGAGCGCTGGCCTGTGCACCGCTCCTCCCCTCTGGACGACGCTCGGGCCTCGGCTCGCGCTGACCCGCCCTTCCCTCCCGCGGCCCTCGGGGTCTCCATCCCTCGGAGCCCCTCCTGTCCCTGCCCCTGTCCCCGAGTCCCCAGATTTCCCTGCGACCCTCACGGCCCCTCTGGATCTCCCCGCAGGCGCTCGGGCGGGAACACACTTCGCAGAGACTTTTCCCCGACAAACTTCCAGAACCTCTGCAGGACGGTGAGTTTCTGCACCTCCTGGCTCTCCTCCATCCACTAAGGCCCTGGCCTCCATGGGAGGGAGGGAGGGAGCGAGGGAGGGAGCGAGGGAGGGAGCCGAGGGGTTGCCTCCCCCACTACTGCAGCTCCAGGAGGCGGTAAAACCGAAGGGGTGGGAGTGTGGGGGGCGGGTTTCCCGGGCGCCGCCGGGCTCGAGTCACTTCCGGTGCCCTGACCTTTATAGGAGTAAACAGACCCCCGCCATCTCCGCCTCCCCTCCTGCCCAGGTGACTGACTAATCCCTTCTTGAGGAGAAAGCGTTGGCCAAGGTTCCTTGGCTCGCTGGCAGGGTGGGGGTCAAGTAGGGGCCGCTTGGGGAGGCCTGGACCCAGGGTTCGTGGTCAAAACTCCACACTGTGGGCACCCCCAGCCCGCTCCTTCTCAAGTCACGAACTTGAAGGCGTCCCCTTAGCAATTATTATTTTTTTCTCTGGAGAGCAGACAGCCTTCAGCCCGAGTCGCCCGGGCTGGGGTGTCTGACCCAGCTGTGATTTTTCCAGGCCTGAAGGCCCCGGAGTGCGCCAGCGGCATGTACAAAGACACCGTCTACTCTGCCTTCAATCTGCTCATGCACTACCCACCCCCCTCCGGAGCAGGGCAGCACCCCCAGCCGCAACCCCCACTGGTAAGTGGCCCCAGCAGCCCAGCCTGCCTTGTGCCTGCTACCTCCTTGACCAGGTATGTGAGACATGGGCAAGAAGTGACTTTTGCCTAGAACAAAATATGTAAATGAGAAAACGCTGTTCTGGTCTCTTTTCCCATCCATGCCCATGGGAGCTGAGCCAGAGTACTTTGCTGAAGGAAGGCGGGACGGCCCTGGGCACCCCCGCTTCCCGCTAGCTGTAGTCTTTTGTCTTTCCAGCTTGCTCACAAGCAGGTGCAGGCCCTATCCTGGTGCTAGGTGATGCTGGGGTGGAGTCTTCAACAACTTTTGAGCTGGGACCACACCACCCCCTTGCTCCCAAGGGTGGCATGGGTAGTATAGTCTGAGCTGTGAGCTTTGTAGTTAGCCTTCTCCCAAAAGCCCAGTGCCCCAAGCCTTGGTGCTTGGAGGAACGGCCAGAAAAGCTGATCAGCTTCAGCTCTCCTGGGAGTGCGTGAGAAACATGCTCTACTTGTTCTGTCCTTATTGGCATGACAGCACCCTTGTCAGAGAAAGACCCTGAACATGTATGGAAAGTAAGTTTTTATGAAGCTGACTTGGTCTCAAATGCACCAGGAAGGGTTTGCAGAGGTGGTTCAAATCAGGAGTGTTGTTTAGGGGCCTGTTTCATGAATTTGCAAATTCAGTATGTTTAAGTACCTGGTGCTTTGAAAAGATTTCACAATCGTTACAAACCATGCTTTTCTGCCCATTGGTGCAGTTGGCCTCAAGTGTGAAGGGCCTATTCTCAGTGCTTTGGAGCAGTAAAGCTGCACTTAAAAAAAAAAAAAATTCAGATTAGTGTTTCAGATTGTCCTCCGGTGGCCCAAGTCGGGGGTGAGGTTAGAACTCCTAGAGTATATAAAAGGTTTAGGAGACTCTAGTGGGTGGTGTTGGATGCAAATGTAGGCCCAATGCAGGTGGGAGACTCACATGGCTAGTGGTGGGGGTCACCCAGAGGGAGGAGGGTGACTGCCAGGCTGTTTCCGATTGGGAGTGAGAAGGGTTGGTTCTGAGAACTGTTTCATGCCGAAAGCTCGTGGGAGGTGAGAAGACATGGAGGCTTCTCTCCAGAAACCCAGGGTGGAAAGCCTGGTAGACGGCTGGCTCAGGAAATGAGGTCCTTGCCCTTTGGACCCTCATTTTGTCGTTTGTAGAAGGAGCATGTTGGATGAGGGTTCTGTCCGTCTGACTCTCTGCTCTTGGGTGGTTCCATCTATGAGGTGTTTGCTTCCTTCCAAGTCTGTTGGGAGGGCGCTTGCCCACTGACCTTTCCACCCAATGGAGCAGCTCTCCCTAGAGACCTCCCCTCCAGACGCTTAACAAAGATGCTTTTTGGGCCCCCTGCACGGAGTAAACCCTTCTATTTGGGGCCAGGTTGAAATGACCCATCATTGCCAAACCACCGGCAGGTGAGTTGCTTGGTTGGTCAGGGGGCTGGGATCACAGTGATAACCGTGACTAGACAAAAGGCCTAGGCCCAAGAACGGGCTGAGCAGGGCAGGCCCCCTTCCAGCTTCTTGTGACTTCACCATGGTACAAGGAAAAGCAGTGTTTCTGAGTTCTTTTCATGGCATGGGCAATGGGCAAGTGGTGGGAGAGAGCCCTGAGACGGGCGGCCTCATTCTCTGTAGGGGTGTGGTGATGGGACCATTTGGTGTCTTCACTCACACTGGTAAAAGAGTAGGCGGATGGAGGACCAATTCCAGCAGTCAGGATGGGGGTGGGTGCGGGCTATACGGGCACAACACCCTTCCCCTGGCCTGGATCATTTCTTTTTTTTCAGCTTTGGGGTCTTTCTCATGCTACAGCAGATGCATTTCTACGCATCACACCCTTTGCTATAAGGGCAAAGCCCCTGATCCTCCTCCACCCAACTGCAGCCTCCCACTGCCTGGCTTCTGGGAACACAGGACAGGCTCTGGCGCCAGCTGCTCCAGGGGGTGGGAACAAGGACAGAGGCAAGGACCTAAGTTGGGGTGACGCTGGGTGAGGAAGATGTGCATGAATGTAGTGGAGCCTCTTTTAAGCAAACTTGATAGTTACAAGCAAATAGCAAGTAAGAACAGTTGCTTGTGTTACCCGAAGAGTTGTAATGACATTTAAAATATGGTTGGGTTTTAAAAAGCAAAATTGATTGACCCCATATTTTGGGAGCACATTTATCATGGGATTCAAGGTTCACGTGTCTGGAATCATAAAAGATACTCTTTTTTTTTTTTTTAAAGATTTTTATTGGGTAATTGGGGGGATGGGAACAGTGCTGGGGAATTGGGGGAAGGGGAACAG